CCCTCGGCCCTTAAAGGGGAAAGGTTGCCTACCCCTGCTCCAAGGCATCACTTTGCCTAAATAATATTTCATAACAAGCACTAATTTAATACATCAAATCCATTCTGGCCACCTAGCCCGAGCCACTATGTTGTATCTTTAATAGGGATTGTGGATCTTGCAGTCCAAAGAAACAATAAATCAAAAAATCTATTCATACCTGACCTACATAAAAATTCCTATTGCCTTCCTACCAGAAGTGCAGAACCAAATTTATGCAAATTAAAAAGAATTATGCTGGTTGGAAATGCAATTCGATGTTTTAAAAAACCCTCTCTCTCTATTTCCACACTACAATAATACACAAGCCCAAATTTTATCCAGCCCAGAATATATTCTTAATAGAGGTGGGTGGGTGACCATATGCTTAGAAATTTAAGCACTAAGCAACATTTTTATAAACACTAACAAACATTAACTTTGCCTGAACCTGTGGTGTTCGGGCTAAACATGGACAACACTAGCCATGGAAATAGGAAAAAAGAAATCTCTAATTTCTATCAGTCACTAGAATATAAGAACAGAGAATGCAAGGATAGTGCCCAACAGATTGTGGAATAAAAGGAAATGCCCCAGAGGAAAAAAACAAACACAAAATTCCCACAGATCAATTGACAGATTGGAAACATATCCATAAAGGAAGCAGTCTTTAAAGTAGCTAAGACATTGGAACAGGCTGGAAGGACTTTGAATAACTAGAAAATTGGACTGAAACTGACAGTAGGGTATTCAGCTGAGAGAAATGCAAAATTCTACATTTAAGCTATAAAAACCAAATGCACACTTAAAGAATGGGGGATACTTGGCTTAGCAACTGTAAATGTGAAAAGGACTTTAGGATTATTGTTGATCATAAACTGAACAGGGGTCAGGCAGACTCATATGTGAAGATACAATCTGTCTTATAGACTGGACCTACACCTTATTGGGCTTTTATAGGTCCTAACCAGCATTTTGAATTGTGCCCAGGCAGCCATTGGAGAAGGAGAGTTGCATGATCCCTCTTTCCCATCACAACTTCAAAAAAAAAAAGGAATCCAAATTTCCTACTAACAACAGCCTATGTAGGTGTTTGATTGTTTACATATGGGGCCAAACTGGGGATGGACCTGTGAGCTGCAGCCTTGAACATCACTGCATGGCTGGGAACTTTCCAGACATTCACATGTTGACAGCAAAGGTTTGTATCAGGCTGTGCAACTGTTTGTGTAATATGTTTTCAGAAATGCCATGTCAGGAACTCAGGGATCCTCATCATAGGAGCACTAGAACTTTGCCTAACAGAGAAATGCAGTGATATAGGTACAGATGACACCTGGTTTAACTACAGTATATGTGCAAGGGATATAGGAGTCTTAGTAGACCACCAGCTGACAAAGAGTCAACAGTTTGATGCAGCTAAAAAAGGCAATATGATCCCTCAATAGGAATATACTGTAGATCGAGGAAAGTAATAGTACCACTCTATTCTATTTTGGTCAAACCTCACTTGAAATACTGTGTCCAGTTCTAGACACCACAATTCAAGAAGGATGTTGGCAAGCTGGAGTGTGTCCAGAGAAGGGTGATCAAAATGGTGAAAAGTCTGGAAACCATACCCAATGAGGTATGTTCAGGTAGTTGGGTATGTTTAGCCTGAGGAAGAGATAGTTAAAGAGGTGACATGATACCTCTGTTGATGGGATGCCACGCTGAGGATGGAACAATGGATGCAAACTACAGGAAAAGAGATTCCACCTCAACATTAGGAAGAACTTCCCGACAGTAAGAGCTATTCAAAAGTGTAACACACTCCCTTGGAGATTGTGGTGGAGTCTCCTTTTTTGGAGGTTTTTAAACAGAGACTGGATGGTTTTTTGTGCGTTTTTCAGGCTGTGTGGCCATGTTCTAGAAGAGTTTCTTTCTGACGTTTCGCCAGATGCTGACGAAACGTCAGAAAGAAACTCTTCTAGAACATGGCCACACAGCCCAAAAAACCCACAAAAAACTATGGACGCCGGCCATGAAAGCCTACGACTTCACATCAGAGACCGGATGGCCACCTCTGATAGTGTCTTCCTGCATGGCATAATGAAGTTGGACTGGATGGACCTCTCTTCCAGCTCTATAAATCTATGAGAATCTGATACAAACTTTCACAAATCTGGGATGCCACACATGAACACACCATCAGAGGTGGCCATCCAGCCTCAATTTAAAAACCTTCAGAGAATGAGACTCCAATGCAATCCAAGGATATTCCACTGTTGAATAGCTCTTTGTCAGAGTAACATTCAGGAGTGAGGATTTCATATCCTATCTTCAGTTTAGCTGTACACAAAAACATGTCAATAGCTAAACATGTCAAGGGCTAAAACTCCTTACCAAATGGAATGCAATATGTTTTTTTTAAAAGGAAAATAAAAGGCTGCAAAGAACCCAGTGCCCCCAAATGTTTGGAAACCATCCTCTATTAAGCTGATGGCTTGCTGGTAGCCTAGGATGACTGTTATTCCATCAATGGAAGCTAATGACAGTTCTCTGGTCCTGATAGCTGGCAACCTCCTATTTGTGGAATGTGAGATTGCTTTGGGCTTTGAAAATGAGCCACTTTCCAGCTGAGGGAGGGAAGGAAGGAAGGAAGGGAGAGAGAGAAAGAGAGAGAGAGAGAGAAAGAGCACTTGCTGGCAGACTGAAGTGGCAGCTGCAAATTGGCTAACACATAGTTAGGATACAGTAACTTTCTTTGGGAAATTAGTACAGGATCTATCTCCTTCCATGGGTACCTTTGCTGTCTCCTTCCACAGGTTCCTTTGCCAGCTCCACTATGTTCTCCTTCTGTATTTGTAAATAATGAAAATATGAAAAAGATACTGTAAATTTCCAATGTGGTCTCAGCCATAGGGGCTGAAGGTTTGTCGTTGAGAAAACTCTGCTGGTAATAAAAAACCATAAAAGCAGGGATGCTTTAGTCAACCAACGAATCAATCATCTTAATTATAACAGTCAATGCATAAGGATTTCTCCCTTTCTTTCCTTCTTTTGCATTTGCAAAGCCTGTTGGAATAATATCCTGTTAGTTGTTTGTGCCCATTGGGGTGGGAAAGGGAAAGCACTTTGCTGCCGATTAATTTGTCAGGGAGGCTTGGGTTTTGTGGTGCACCGTCAGAAAGAAAAATTAAGATTATAGCATAACTTCTGGAATGCTGTGAAAAGCAACACAGTGAAAAGACACATAACCCCTGCCAATGATTGCCAGTGCCCCTGCGTCATCAGTTGCAAACTGTCCTCTCAGTTCATTTGTGTTGAATTTACACATGCTTTCATCGCTTGCTAGGTTTTAATGTGGTCTCCTGGGGAAAAAGAGCAGCACATCATCAGCATGGCTCACCTCGCAGAATATCTCATTTGTGCGCCAAGGAAACAGAAGACACATTTTTATTTAGCAGACCAATCCTCCATGTCCACTCTCAGGTTTTCGTTCTTACATATAACATTACTATAAGTGTGCAAAAGAATCTTGTAGCACCTTTGAGACTGTCTGAAAGAAGTTGTAGCACAAGCTTTCTCAGGCTTGGCATACTTCCTCAGATCCAAATTAAACTAAGTCTATGGGAAATTCTACAACTTACAACTTCTATCCTACAACTTCTTTTGCAGTTAGTCTCAAAAGACACTACGAAATCCCTTTGTATATTGTTATCCCAGACTAACACAGCTAGGTCTTGGTACATTACTGTAAAATGATGGATCTCTAACTTTTAATCCATTCCTAAGCAGAGCTTGAAAAAGTTATTTTGTGGACTATATCTCCCATTATCCCACAATCAGCAGTCTTCACTGTATAGTGGTTTGAGCAGTGGATGAGGTGTCTGGGAGTTGGAAATGACCTGAAGGTACAGAACAACCTAACACTCCAATCACTATTGGAACGAGAGGATGACTCAGAAAACCAAGGTGCAAATCACAGAAGTCTGAAATAGCAATATGGGTTGGAATGTCCACATATTACACAAGGAAGAATTAATACTGGACTCCTAAATGCTTCTGTCCCTCCAGAACATGGAATCTTTCTTCACCTTAGGCAGAAAAAATGAAATGCATAGATATAGGATGGGGGACACCTGGCTTAACGCGACTACATGTGAAAAGGATCTGGGAGTCCTAGTAGACCACAAGTTGAACATGAGTCAACAGTGCAATGCGGCAGCTAAAAAGGCCAATTCAATTCTAGGATGCATCAATGGGAAGTATAGTGTCTAGATCAAGGGATGCAATAGTACTTTGATTGTGTGTTCCTGCATGGCAGGGGGTTGGACTGGATGGCCCCTGGGGGTCTCTTCCAACTCTATGATTCTATGATTCTTGACTACAACTGCCAGCACACATTTCAAATTAGTTTATTTCACACACACATGGTCATCTTTCTTCACAGTTCAGCTTTCATATGAACCCAAAAGTAAGTTAAACTGTATTCCACAGGCTTTTAGAATTGAAGGATTTTCAGGAAAGAGTTTTAAAAGGATGCTGTATTATTTTAAATTGTACTCTTTTCAATTATTCTTTTCATCATTTTAAGTGTTTGTTTTAAAATTGCCTTGATATTGTTAATAGCTTAATTCTAATGTTTACTTTCTGTATGCTTTGAACAATATTGTAATCATTTTATTCGGTAAGCCACCTTGAGTCCTTGGGGAAATAAAGGCAACAACGGCAACAACAACAACAAAAGTACCAGCATCCTTCACCTCCTATGCAGGTTAGGGATGCTGGGAC